CAGGCCAATTGCAGGTACCTGCTGGGGGAGCACCTGCACAGATGCTGAGGACATGCATCTCCTGACTGCTCTAACACCTAGCTCATGACTGAATGACTGGAATTTCTGAAGTTAACCCCTTTGAGGGGCACAACTCATGTGGGTCGTGTGAGCAGACATCTTTCAGACACCTCACCTATTCAGAAAAGTGTTCAACATGTAAACACAAAGCATACTGTTGGAAACAGGAAGAAAATATCCCAACCATCAGAAGTACCACTGGAAAGCCACATACATGTAAAACAGCAACCAGCACAGCCACACACCACCCATACACCACTGACTGACACAACATCCTCCTGATGTTGTTCCCCAGGGCTGGGGCAGCTCTGCAGGTGGGGTCTCACCTGAGCACAGGGGCAGAGGGGCAGAATCCCCCCTCCCCTGCTGCCCACGCTGGGGGCTCAGCCCAGCACAGGGGGGTTCCTGGGCTCAGTGCCCGTGGCCGGGGCAGGTTGAGCCTCTCACCCACCAACAGCCCAAGTCCTTCTCACCAAGGGATGCTTCTGATCCATTCTCTGGGTTTGTGCTTGAATGCTTGATCTCAAGACTAACAAACCACTCTCCAATAACATTATTAAAGTACACATCAGGCTCTTTAGAACTGTCTACTGCTAGTTCATGCTTACCACACGTAGTACCATAGTAAGCAGTACATTTTGTCAAACATTCAAAAGTACCCAAAAAACAGGTGCTTTCCCCAAGCTGTTGGGGAAACAAAAAAAGTGAATGAATCAAGGTGTTTACTGCACATTTTACTACTGCTTAATACCTTCCTGGAAAATGGGGACTGGAAAATGATGATAAATGTAATTAATATTGTCTAATTGACAGTCTGACAAAGGGTTTTTCACACCAACAGTTCATTGGACAGATACAACTATGCTACAAATTCATTCACAACCAGAATAAAACCACACACAACCACAAGCTTCATAAATTATGAGCTTGGAATAAAGATGACTTCTGACAACCAGGAAAGCTTCTGGCTTGCTTCCTTATATTTTGCTGGATTTTTGTTAAATCTTTTACCTGCTGATAAAATTTAAAGGAGATGATTTCAGAAACTAGGCTAATAGATGGTGGCCGCTGCACAACAAACATGGAGGGGGGAACATATGCAGAGGTCATTGATACATAAAGGAAAAGAAAAACCAAAGAAAGAGTGAGGGAAAAATCAGCTTCAATAACAGCTTATAATAACTGTACATTTAAATTGAATTAAAACCTTTCCACATCTATCCACAAATGATTAAGTGTGGCTGGTTTAACTAGAGCAGCTCAGTGCAGAGAAACCTGGGCCTACGATGTGCTGCTGGCCGCAGTGCTGCTTCAGAGCTCACACGGCCACACCTGGCATTTTCTGCATTGACCTCAGAAAATCCAGAAGTTCTCCTACAAATCACTGGGAATCTAAATGGGAATGATCTTTCTGCAGCACAACTAGAGACAAACATGCTCCAGGTGACATAATTCACCTCACAAGTGAAATGACAGCAGAGGCAGAACAAGAACAGCAGCTACAGGTAACCTCAGGGAAGGTGACTCCCGTGGGCGTAAAGCTGCAAGCGAGCCGCAGCTGCTCTCGACAACCTGTACCAGAGCCTCACCACCCTCACAGGAAACAATTTCTTCCCAGTATCCCATCTACCCCTGCCCTCTGGCAGTGGGAAGCCATTCCCTCTTGTCCTGGTGCACCAGGCCCTTGTCCAAAATTCTTCTCCAGCTCTCTTGGAGCCACTTTAGGCACTGGAGGGGTATCTGAGGTCTCCTCTTCTCTAGGCTGAACATCCCCAGCTGTCACATACTGAACAAGGGCGGGAGATCAGGGCAGCAGCAGCTGCCCAGGACACTCAACACCAGAAGCCGCAGACCCCTATGCCCTAGGGCCAGCAGCCTGTGCAGGACGGGATGAAGAGTGCCCAAAACCCTCCACGATCCAGCCTGCCGCCGCCATTTCACCCCTGAGAGCGCGGAGGGGGCGGGGCCTGTCATGACCCCGCCCAGGCCCCGCCCCGTCTCGCGTCCCCGGCGCTCCCGGCCGCCATTTCAGAGCCGCGCGGGGCCAGCGGCTTGGGACATCCGGCAGCGGCGGAACGGCAGCACCGGGGGTAACTGCGCTGCCTCCGGGGCCTCGCAGAGATCATAGAGCGGCCGGAGCCTGGGACCCCAGGGGCTGCGGAGCCGGCACTGACCACTGCGAGTGTGTCCGAGGACGGCCGCTCACAGCTGTGAACCGGGAGAGCGCATCCGAGGTCTGGCCGCTCCTGGAGCCTCCCAGCTGTTCTCTGTGTGGCCTCTGCGCCGTTAGGAAGCTCTGCGTCCATCCGTCCATCTCCCTTTCTGTAACCCGGACTGCCCAGCTGAGGGCACTTGGCTCGTTCAGCTGGAGCAGAGGAGACTGAGGGGAGGCTCCTCGGGGGCTGCAGCTCCTCCCGAGGGGAGGCGGAGGGGCAGGGGCTGAGCTCTGCTCTGGGACAGGGACAGGAGCCCAGGAAGGGCTGGAGCTGTGCCAGGGCTTGGGATGGATCTCAGGGCAAGGTTCTTCCCCCCGAGGGTGCTGGCACTGCCCAGGCTCCCCAGGGAATGGGCCCGGCCCCAAGGCTGCCAGAGCTCCAGGAGCGTTTGGACAGCGCTCTCAGGGATGCTCAGGGTGGGCTTGTTGGGGGGTCTGGGCAGGGCCAGGGTTTGGGATCAGCGATCCCTATGGGTTCTTTCCAATCCATGACACTGTGATTTTATGATTCCATCTTTATTTACAGCCAGATACAAACATTTGTCTTTGTGCTGCTGCTTCCATCTGTCGATTCTCACTGCACGTGTCTCTCCTATGTCAGAATCACTTTCACCAAGGGCTTCCTGGGTCACCCTGTTTGCACTGAGCCTTTTTCATTTTTCAAGGTATCCCAGGAAATGGCATGACAAACCTGTGGCATTCATGTTGCATCATTTTGAGACGATTTCAGACATGACACCTGGCTTTATGTTGCTGAAATTCCACATTCTATTGGAACCTTCAGGCTGATGTTTTCATATTGAACAGAAACACTGTAATAGACCATCAATACATTTAGCAAAAAGGGATAATTCCCGTAAAAGCTGACACACTGTTTCACAGGACAACACCTTTTAATTGCCAGCACATCTTAAGTAAGTGTTTATGGTGATAGATTATGAGTTTGCAAATATGTTGTCAAATGATAAAGGCATCAACACTTCAGTGTTGTGCTCATGGCCTCAATTTTTGAAGATTAGAGACCCACCTCATGTTCAAGAATGGGATTGTTAATTAAAACCTGGATGATACATGGAAAACATCGAATGTACAGTAAAAGAAAGTTGCCACTGATGTGAATGACAATATTGTGATTTTGGGGCTGGCAGGATGAGCAAATAACAGATGCACAAACGTCTTTAATGTTTTATGAGTCCTTGAAGGATATTTCCAAACCTGTCAGGCTTGGAATTTTCATGTGAGGATTCCCCATCTGGCATTGTGAGCTATTGTAGAGAGGAGAAGAAAATGGCAATATTTTTAACATCGCTCTTAATCTAACATCCTCGTTGGACTCTTCATGCAGCTGAACACTGGGATCTCTGTCACACTGTGCCTATTGGATATTGCAGAGGCTGCGCTGTCCCTGGCTGTCACATGTGGACGATCAGGACATAGCAAAATGTAACAGGGCCACTTTAAAGGGTTTCTGGGCAGCTAAACCAGAAAACATCAGTGCAACCACGTTGGGAATTTACCATACAAGGTTTTGCTAGAGGGTACATCAGGATAGGCAAAGAAAATATATTTGTACTTTCGTTGTGTAATTTGCCACATATTCCAGTATTACAATATTTCCACATGTGTGCACTGAAATGCCAAAGAACCCAAACTCCTGTCTTGGTGCAATTCCCATCCTTCAGGTGAGATCTCGCTCTTCTAGACTTGAGAAAGGAGCTGGAGAAGGAGAAATTTGATTTTCAGGTGTGTCACTCAACTAAGTAAAACTCAAATCATGAGTTGTCTGTTAATGAAAAGGAACATCATGTATTGTAATGCAGAAGTATTCTGATTTTTTTCTCCCCTGAAGTTGAGTACCTTAACGCAGGATTTACAGACCTGAAGCTTAGATGTCACACACTAAGCATGCTGCTTTGTACCAGGGTATTGCAGAGTACTGTTGGCAATGACAAAAAGACTTCTTTTTCTGCAGAAAAGGGAATTTTACTCTCACAGATTACTCCTGTGCAGTGGAAATAGGTGCAGATACAAATGGATGCCCTTGGCTATGAAAAGTGGAAACGGAAGAGGGAAAACACTTGCACAGCTGGTCCCTTCAGGGCGCTGCACAATTTCCCTCAGCACAGGGAGGTGCTGGCCACCAGCTTCTTTGACAGATCATCATTTGCATCTCATTTACACAGGAAGCGTTAATCTTTTAACCAGTCACCAGCATTCCGGTGGGTTGTGCCCGTGGAGATTCCCTGTGCCCGGGCTTCGGCTGACCCTGGCCCTCAGACGAGGAGAGGCTCGGCTGCCGCGAGCTCTGCCCGCAGCCGTCGGCCCCAGGGCTGCCGTGCTCCATCTTCCACCCGAGCCTGGCTCCCTGGCACAGGGCACCACTCGCGTTTCTTCTCCAAGAGCCCGGACGGCCACAGGAGGCACGTTCTCCTCCGGGCTCCTTTCCACAAGAGCAGCCGGACCTGCGGCCGGAGCGCACCCGCCCTTCCCGAAGCTCCGAACCGTCTCGGGGAGATCTCTGTGGTTCCGCGGCCGCCTCCGCGGAGTGGCCCCGGCCCCACTCCCGCCCAGCTCCGCTCCCCTCCCAGCTCCGCTCCCCTCCCCCTGGCGCGCGGTAGGCTCCGCCCCTGGCCGGAACTTGACGGACGGGCGGAGGAGCCAATAGCTCGCCCGGCACGTGCGCGCGGCAGCCAATGGGTGTCGGCGGGCGGTGCGGGGGCGGGGCCGTGGCGCTGGGGCGGCTCCTTGTGCGCTGCGGACCGATCGCCTCCCGCTGCCCGGGCCCGGCCGCCGCCGCCGCAGGTGAGGCCGCGCGCGGGGCTGCGGGGCCGCGCTCGAGCAGCCTCGGCGGCACCCGCGGGGCCGACGTGGGAGGAAGCGGGCGATGGGGCCCGGGCGGCCGGGCCGAGGCCTGGGCCTGGCGGGGTAGCCTGGGCCTGTGGGGGGAGGGGCAGCGCGGGCCCGGGGCGGCGGGGTCGCGGCCTGCGGGGCCCGCGGGGGCCGGATGGGGCACGGGCGGGGAGCGGCTCCCAAAGCCACCGCGCTTGCGGCGGGAAGGCCGCGGGTCGCGGGGCCGCGATGTGCTGCGGGTCCCCGCCGCTTCTCAGGGCCTTTCTCCGTCCGATTAATGGCCTCATCTTTCATGTTTATTTTGTCCGTGTCTGTGCGGACACAGCTTTTAAATCTCCCACGTTGGTTAGGACTGGTGCGTCCTCGTTAACTGGCGGTACCCGAGGGTCCGTGCCAGCGAGGTCAGCGCCGGTTGGCATCAGTGCTGGCAGCGGGTCCGGTGATGGTGTGGTGAGTGCTTGGGGCCGCAGGAATCATGGCTAAAGCAGCAGTCGCTGTTGTTTGTACTCGTGGGAGCAATTGGAAGCTGAGCGTTTGCTCTGTTTTAGCTGTTGGAAGAGGCAGGACTGTCCTAGGGGCCGTTTCACGGCAGTACGCGTGAGGGCTGGGGTGGGACAGTCGTGGGGAGGCGAGTGCTCTTGCCGGATTCTGCACTCCTGGAAGTGAAGGAGCGTTTGTTTGGCTTAGACTTGTATCCCAGACTTGCTGGGGAAGGAAGCACCATTTGTTGCATGAGGACTTGTACTGGGATCCTGTGATCACTTAATGAGGCATTTGTGGAAAACAAAAGAGGAAAGAGTAATTCCTTTTGTTAACACCTGTTGTTATATTTGATCACTTCTTGAGATCTTTGTATTTTTGTTCAGTTTGCTCCCTGATTGTGGGTGTTGACTGCTCATATTGCTCGGCTCTCACCTCTTTACAAGCTGTTGTTTCCCTGTACTCATGTTTTAACCACGTTTTTTTTCTGGAACTGTGTGAACAGTTCTGCGACTTGTGTATTTCCCATTATAACTAGGACGATGCACATGTTCCATAGTCTTTATCAAACCTGTAGAGCTGATGTGATTTCTTAGATTCCTGTTGAGTCCTGGGTTATGTCTGTGTGTGTGATGAATAATAAAATCAAGAGTGCTGAGCCTGTAAGTCTGTGTTGCGTGAGATATTAATGTCCTGGTTTTTGCTCTGAAGCAGAGTATGTAAAATTATTCCAGTGCTCCTGTGGTTTCCATGATTCAAGGTGTTCATCTGTCCGGAGTTACAGCTGTGATTGCAGTGGCTCTCCCCTGGCCTGACTGGAATATGAACAGGAATATCTTAAGCCGGTGTGATTGTTATGTGTTGTACAGTGAGTTTATAGCTCTGCTGTGGGTGGTTCTGCAGGACCAGATTAAATCCTTAGGGAGTTGTCTTGTGCTGTACCAAGTTTGTGAAAACAGCAGCAGCAGTAAGCATAGTCTGAATGGAAATGGGAATGTTGTGTGTAGCAGCTTACTTACCTGTATTTGTTGAACAGTGTCTGTTGCTGACATGAACTTAATGTGAAATGTGCTGTATGCTCTGAATTCAAACACTATTTTATTTCTGTTTCTTGCATGTTCTACCACTTTTTTTTTTTCCTGAAAAAGCCCTCCTTGTCTTGATGTGAGATATGGCATTTTATTTTCAGCTTTTGTATAAGCCTGCTTTCTCTCCTGAAGCTTGGGCCTCTGTCTTGTTTCTTGCTTATTTGTTGTGAGCTCTCTGAATTGATTCCCAAAGTTATTGGCTGTCACTCTGACCACATGTGGATAAGCTGCCTGTGAAGTTGGTAGACTTAGTCATCAACTTTAGAAACCTCAAACTTACTATGTTTTCAGACTTCAAGAAGTTTAGAGAAGCTGTTCTTTCTGCACTTCCAGGTACTTTAGAAGCAGCCTGGAAGGCAGTGGCAGGAAAGTCCTGCCAGTTTAAGCATTTAGGGAGAATGACAGAGTTCAGCAAAGGAGAGGTGGTAAATTTTGACTTGTGCTGAAAATGATCAGGAGACTTCTCCTGTCTGATGTGCAGTTCTGTATTCTCAGGCACCTGCAAGCTCCAAACTGCTGGCCTAAATGATCCATTTGATTATACAACCTCGTTATATGTAGGTGATGTATGCAAAAATAGATTTTAATTTTTTATTTTTTTTTCTGAGGGGATAAGGTGGAAATAAGCTGTACTGGGAAGGCAGAGACATTCTTCATGTGTGGGTTTGATGCCTTTGGATCTTTTTTTTGTTTGTTTTGTTTTTAATATTAGTAGCCGTGGCATAGTCCTACAAAGGTATAATTTTCTTATCTCCTACTGCTTCCATGGCCTCCATGTGGGAGCACAGCAGCAAACCAGTGTCTCACCAGGCCCTCAGAGATGAATTTGCAGCTAGTTGTTTTGTGCTAGTGAACAAGTCGGATGCTGTATTTTCCTCCTGTAATTCACTTGCCTTCCTGCCCCATCAAGGTGAAAGTATCTAAAGATGGGTCAGTGTTATCCAAGGTTGGATGAATGTCTGGAGCACCTGTTGTCAGAAAGTGTCTGGAATCTACAGTTCTTAAGTCCACTTCTCATCTGCCCTCTCCCTCAGAAAGGAATCATTCCCTCACAACACAGTTGTCTCCAGATGTCTTTTGTGTTGGTGAAAAAATTGCCAAAGGCAATTTATGGACAGTCTGACACTGTCTAGAAAAAGGAAGATAATAAACTCTTTCCTTTTTTTAATATCTGCTTGTCAGAAGTCTGTTTCTTTTAAAATACCAGTGCAAAAGGTGAGATAGTCCAGGCTGCACAAAGTTCTTCACTGTTTCTTTGCTGCATAAAATTTGGTGGTGTTAATTGGCAGCATCTTTGACCCAGGGGCAAACAACTGTGGCATCACAGAAACCCAGAATGGCTGGAGTAGGGAGGGACCTTGGAGACCATCTTGTTCCACCTCCTGCCACAGGCAGGGACACTTTCCACTGTCCCAGTGTGCTCCAAGCCCCGTCCAGCCTGGCCTTGGACACTTTCAGGGATCCAGGGGCAGCCACAGCTGCTCTGGGCACCCTGTGCCAGGGCCTGCCCACCCTCCCAGCCAACAATTCCTGCCCAATATCCCATCCAGCCCTGCCCTCTGGCAGTGGGAGCCATTCCCTGTGTCCTGTCCCTCCAGGCCTTGTCCCCAGTCCCTCTCCAGCTCTTCTGGAGCCCCTTTAGGCCCTGCAAGGGGCTCTGAGCTCTCCCTGGAGCCTTCTCTTCTCCAGGTGAGCACCCCCAGCTCTCCCAGCCTGGCTCCAGAGCAGAGGGGCTCCAGCCCCTGGAGCAGCTCCGTGGCCTCCTCTGGACTGGCTCCAGCTGCTCCACGTCTTTCTTCTGCTTTTAAATGTATTGTGCTGCTTGGATGGTGTTGATGTGAAACTCTGAGCAGAGCCTGGTATCCTCTGTCTGTCAGGGCTGGCTGTTAACCTGGGAAGATGGGGAAATCTGGATCTGGCAGCAGATGTTCAGTGTCTCAGCCACAGGTGTCTGACTGCTCTTGTTCCTACTGCTGGAACTGAGAAGGGGCCCGATCCCTGCCATGTGTTGGACCAGCAGCTGATGGTAATTATGGCCAGCCTGTATCTGATTTCTGACAACATCCCATTGATGATTAATTTTGTTCCTAGGAATTGAGTGTAGTTCATCAGTCTGCTAAAGTAAGGTCATTGCTCTAAAGAATGCAGCTTATTTTTTGGCCTCAAATGTTTTTGTCTCTGAATGGTAATACAAGCATTGACAAAAACACCTTGATGATATTATTATATGGACATGAATAAAAACAACTAAGGGAGATATTTAAAAACCTTCCAGACAAATCTGATTGCTAAGGAACATCTAAAACTGCTTTGCTGAAATATTAAAATTATGACAGTTGAGATTTGTTAGACCAAAAATGTGCTTGAAACTAAGTTAATGCCCAGTGTTTATAAAACAACATAAAAAATAAAAAAAGGCTTAAAATATGCTGTACTGAAATCAGTGATTCAGCATATGGAAATAGAATTTGTGGAAATGTAGCAGCAGATTTTAGTAATGGCAGCTTCTGGTGCTGAGCTATTTTTACTGGCAAAGTGTTGGAATCTTAGGTGCAGTCAAGCTGAGAAGAGCAAGGGTAGTGTCCTCGTTTCAGGTGTGCAAAGGGGAAAATAATCAAAGAGATGAGATCTGTTACTTCTGGAAAACCCAGAGGGTTGGCAAGTAGAAAGGGTTTGTTTGGTTGCCAAATTTACAAACAAAATTTACATATCAGTGTGAAAGGATCATATATGTACAGCATCTGTAGCAACATTAGAGTTTCAGGGTAAAAGAATCTTCCTGTCTAAAGACAGATGTTTTTTTAGTGACCTTCAATAGCATGTGTCAGCAGTGAGTTAGTTTCATTTTTATGGGGAGAGAGAGGAGAGGTAAAATGCCAATTGAATCAAACTGAATATTTAATTTAAAGTTTTCCTATTTGCTGATTTAAAATATTGTGGCTGCAGAGCAGAGGAATTCAGATGAGCCAGAGAATATTGACCTGATTGATTGCTCTGGGGCAGTAGGAGAACTAGGGTTACTGGTTGGGGGAAAGAATTTGTGACACCTCACTTTCTGCCTTTAAATTTTCGTGTGCATCCAACCATCATGTTCATAGTTCAGGAAGATGGCTTTTCCAGCGGAACTTAGGATTCATTCTCATGAAACACAGCTACCACTCAGCCTAAGCAAGGAAAGGTGAGACCAAGACTCTTGGATTGTGGTCACAGACTTTTGGAAACAGCATCAGGCACCTCTCAACCATGGCACACTCCCTCATACGTGATTTGGTTTTATTCGTAAGAAAAGCATTACCCTCTGCCCTCACAAATGTGCAACAAAATAATCTGTTGGAAGACTTAGACATGTTGCTTGGATCTGAGTTGAGGCTTTGAAGTGTGTGA